CATTCATTTCCTTTAAACCTATCTATGCCATTATATTTGAAATGAGTTTCTTTTTGGTAGCATAAAATTGGGTCATTTAAAAAATCCACTCTGGCAGTTTCTGTCCTTTGATGGGTAGTCTGAAGACTTTATAATTACTATATTTATTGATATGTTTGAATGAAGGCTATTATTTTATTTTATTAAATAAACTTTTTAGAGTAGGTTTAGGGTCACAGCAATGATTTTCTTTTTAAATTTTTGTTTTAAATTCTAGGCCACGGATGTTGGCTCACAGCTGTAATCCCAGCACTTTGGGAGGCTGAGGCAGGCAGATCACCTGAGGTCAGACCATCCCAGCCAACATGGTGAAACCCCATCTCTACTAAAAATACAAAAATTAGCCAAGCCTTGTGGTTTGTGCCTGTAATCGCAGCTACTCAGGAGGCTGAGGCAGGAGAATCACTTGAACCCAGGAAGTGGAGGCTGTAGTGAGCGAAGATTGTGCCACTGCACTTCAGCCTGGGTGAAAGAGTGAGACTATGTCTAAAAAAAAAAGTAATGTTCCCTTTTATGCCTTCTTTTGAATATATGAACATTTTTAGTATTCCATTTTAATTTTTCCAATTTTTGTATACTTTTTCCATGGTTGCACTAGATATTACAACATATGTATGTTTAACATTTCACAGTTTATTCAGAGCAAATATTCCATCACTTCAAGTGGAATACAGAAACTTACCACCCTGTAGGTATGAAGTTTTATGCTCCCTTGTTTATACCGTAGGTCTACATACATTGAAAATGTCATCCGACACTGTTATTTTCATTTCGGACCATCAATCATACTTAAACAATTCAAGAGGGACAGAAGAGTCTGTTATATTTACACAGAGAATTACTGTTTCTGTTGCTTTTCCTTCACTCCCGATGTATGTGTCCTTCTAGTGTCACTTCCCTTCTGCTGGAAGAACTTCTGTGAGCAATGCTTGAAGAGCTGTTCTGTTGGCAATACGCCCTCTTAGCTTCCCTTCACCCGAGTGTGTCTTATATCACCTTCATTCCCAAAGAATTATTTTGTTTTTTTGAGTTTCACTCTATCACCCAGGCTGGAGTGCAATGGCACGATCTTGGCTCATTGCAACCTCTACCTCCTGGGTTCTGGTGATTCTCCTGCCTCAGTCTTCTGAGTAGCTGGGATTACAGGCACCCACCATCATGCCCAGCACATTTTTGTATGTTTATTAGAGATGGGGTTCACCACGTTGGCCAGGCTGGTCTCGAACTCCTGACCTCAGGTGATCCACCCACCTCAGCCTCCCAGAGTGTTGGGATTACAGGTGTAAGCCACTGCGCCCGGCCCTGAAGAATATTTTTAATAGATGTAGGATAATTAGAACTCTTGTTCCACTTACTTCTGGGTCCTATGGTTTCTGAAAGAGCATCCACAGTCATTTGAACCATTCTTCCCTTATAAGTAAAATATCATTTTTCTCTGACTGCTTACAATATTTTTTCTTTGGCTTAATTTTCAGTAGTTTGATTATGATGTATCTTGGCATGGAGTGTTTTCGTGTTTTATTCTGCTTGAGATTCATCCTGTCTTAGGGGTTCTCGAACATGTGACTTTATGTCTTTGACTAAATTGGGCAGTTTGCAGCTATTGTTTTTTCAAATGCTTTTTTCTGTACTGCACTCTTTCTCTTGTCCTTCTGAGACTCTAGTGACATAAACGTTAGAGATTTGCTATTGTCCCCCAGTAGGCTGAGGCTCTTAATTTTTCTTTCAATTTCTCTCTGTTGTTCAGATTGGATAATTTCTGTGTCAGTATCTTCAATATCCTTGATCCTTTCCTCTGTCATTGCCATTCTGCAATTAAGTCCAGCCAGTGGGTTTTAAAATTTTGTGGGAGGCTGAGCCAGGAGAATCATTTGAACTTGGGAGGTGGAGGCGCAGTGAGCCAAGCCTGTGCCACTGCACTCCAGCCTGGGTGACAAAGTGAGACCCTGTCTCAAAAAATAAATAAATTAATAAAATAAAATAAAATTTTGGTTATTGTATTTTTCAATTCTAAGTTGTCCATTTGCTTCTTCTTTATATCTCTTTTTTCTCATCTGTGACTTTCTAGCTTTTCTGTGTGTTTCAAGAACATTTGCCCTTACTTGATCTAGCATTTTAATAACAGCTGCTTTAAAGTCTCTGTCCCATAATGCCAACGTCTGTTTCATCTTAGTGTTATCTATATGCTCCTTATCTTTTCCTGTGCAGGTTGAAAGTTTCCTACTTCTTCACAGGTCACGTAATTTTGAATGGTCTGCACATTTTGAATACTATGCTGTGGAATTCTGGGTCTTGTTTAAATCTCTACGGAGAATATTTATATTTTTGTTTTATCAGATAATTGACCCAGAAGGGCTTGGGCCAAAAGTGTAGGCTTCTGTGGGTTGTGGTTCAGTGTAAGGTCTGTTTTCAAAGTCACTGAGTTGGTATTTAAATTCGTGGGCTACCTCGTGGCCAGTCTGAGACCTGGGCAGTGGTTTATTTTGCTTTATAGTTGTCAAAGCCCATGATGGGTTAGAGCCATGCTCCTGGAGCTGAAGGATAAGCCCAGGAGTTAATAAACAACTCTATGGGATTGCTTTCCTGAGCAATCTTTATGGTATTTTCCAGTTTCTTGGGGCTCCCCGTTTCAGTCATTGAGCCAGAAAGCTAGGGCTCGGCACTTCCCATGGCTATGCCTGATTCCAGGGCCAAGAGGTGAGGGACAGAGAGTGAAAGCGAAGCCAGGAGTTCATCTTCCTGAGGGCAACAGCTCCTCAGAGAGGACGGCCTCTCCTCTTTTGGAATTTTGGGCTCCTGTAGGGCCTGTGCAATGCTCCCATGGGATTACTTGTGGGCTGGGATATGAGAGAGCAAAGATTTTTAAAAATAGACTTTCTCCATGCTCTCTCTGTGAATAATAAAACACCCTCCTCCTGTGCCTCAAACCAGAAGCAGCAGGTTTCTCCTGGAGTTCACTGTTAGTGCTGATGTCCACCTGGGTTCCATGCAGGTTTGGTGATACCAGGGAACAAATGGCAAACTCACTACCAGCTGCATAGTACTCCAAGTTCCAGTTTTCAAAGCCCTCAAATAGCTGCTCTACGCATTCCATTGGTTTTAAGCTGCATTCGGTGGGGGAGAGAGTGGAGTATGCTCAGATCATCCTAGAACCAGAAAGCTACTGTTGATATTTACGTTGCAATTTCATTCATTTTAAAAATAAATAATGTTGGCTTTCTTTACATTAATGTTTATGATCACTTTCTATTTATGGGAAGTGATACTGATGATTTAGGTAGGCATATAATATTCCATTACAAAATATATTTAACAAATGAGCTGATTTTATGGAAAAAAGTAAGCAAGACTAGAGCAGACCTAACTCTCTGCTGGCTGCCACCCGAACAGGCCAGTCACACTCCTGCCTTAGAATAAGGGCCTTCACGGTTCCCTCTGTTTGGAACACCTCCCCTGGCCCCTTCCTCCGGTGTCTGCTCCTGGAGGAAGTGTTCAAAGATGCAGTGGTTGCGGCAGGGGCCCATGTATTTTGGAGGCAGCCACTAGAGGAAGTGAGTGAGGTGAAGGAAAGGTCCTCTGAGCAACAGGGTTGGAGGAGAGGGACTGCTGAGGGCTGGTCAGCTGGGAGAGGGGGCTGGGAGGACGTGAGCAGTGGCGGCAGGAGGGTGGGCTCCTCCCTGAGCCTCAGTTTCCCCTATACACAATGAGGATCATGAGCATGGAGAGGCTGTGCACCTGTGTGCCCAGCACAGCATGGGGACTTGGTCTGCACTGTCATTGGTCATGTCACACAACCCACCATGGTCCTTCTCCTGGCCCCATGTGTCCCCCTGATGGGGCTCTAAGCCCACCTCTCTGGACCGGGCCCTCAGTTCTCCCCTCGCCCTCCTCCTGCACAGGTTGCCTTCCCACCCCTCCATGCTTGCTGCCCTCCTCCTGGCCTGCTCCCAGGCCTCTGCTGGACAGCTGTTTGCCCCTCCCTTGGAGGCCTTCCCTGACCACTGCTCCACACGGCACGCGCTGCTCAGTCCCTTTCCACCCTGGACCCCATTTCATTTTCCTTGTGGCTTTTCTCCCCAAATCCATGTGTCTCCCCAGGGAGTGTGAGATCCTCTGGGGCACCACCTTGCCTGTTCCTGCTCTCGGCTGCACCCCAGCGCTAGAGCAAGGTTCAGCAAAAGCCAGCTGGATGAATGATGAGTGAGTGAGTGAATGACAGCCCCTGGGATGCGGCAGGGGACCAAGCCAGGCAGCAGGGGAGGGTCCAAGAGCTCCAGGGGCCCTGACCAGGGCTGAGCTGACAGCCGTGACCCGGCTGCTACTGCAGGGCTGCCAGCCAGGCAGCAGGCAGCTGCAGGAGGGGCGCGGGCCTGTTCTGTGAGGGAGAAAACAAGCGTCCCATTTACCATGAGAATGAATATCAGGCTCTGTGTGGAAATCCCACTTGCCACTGAGATGCGTGAAGCAGGGCTGGAGACGCAAGCTGTAGCAGTCTCTTTGAACTCCCCACCCCCAGCCAAGGGGACCATCTTTCCAGCCCCCGTGCTACACAGCTGCTGCCTGGTCCTCACCTGCCCCGCGGGAACCACCGCCCTGGCCAGGCTCACTGCCCTCCTGATACCTGCCAAAGTCACCATCTGGTTTCCTCTCCATCAAACCTTCCAGAGGCTCCTGCAGCCCCCAGGGCTGCAGTCATGAGCCATACTGACCCCCGCAGCGGTGCTCCCCATTTACCCCTGTCCTGCATGGGGCCACCAGACCTCTCCCTCCTGGGCCTGCCTGCCTGGCCACGTGCCTCGGAGCCCCTCTCTGCCCAACAGACAAAAGGGCTTCACAGGTGTATTATGGCACACCCCGTCCCGCTCCGCTTGTCTTCAGGGCCAAAGTCAGAACATGGTGGCAGCTGTGGGTCTGCCCATAGTCGGAGGTCCCTGCTCCTGTCCCCTGTCCCCAATCCCCACCTTGCCTGGGGGCCTCTCCCTGCCTGGAGAGTGGAGAGGAGGGGCTGTTGGCACTGCTGCTCCAAACTGGGGTCCCTGAATCCCGGAAAGTATGCGGACGGCCCAGGTCAGAAAATGCAGCCAGAGTTGCAGGACTCAGGGACCACACTGAGACGTGGCCGGGCTCCCCCGTGCAGGCACCCTGTGGCCTTCCCCCAGCCCAGGAGTGGGAACCCCTCAGGCTTCCCATCTTCAGAAAGGGAGGAGCCAGGGGAGAACAGGGAGGAAAATCGTTCTCAGAAGCTTAGGGTCTGAGACTCCACAGCTGTAGGAGCCTGGGACTTTCTGTTTCGGAGGATCTGGAAGAAGTGTGACCTGCTTCTGGGGAGGGGAGGGCAGGCCCTAAACTGCTGACTCCAGAGGCCTCAGCAGTGGCCTCGTGTTCAGACCTGAAAATGGGTGAAAAACGGACATGAATGAGGACCACGGTCCTCCTTCTACCGCCTGGAGAATCCAACCCATCCATGAGAGGATAGGAGACAGTGCAGTGACAAGCACCCCAGTGCCCTCAGAGCCCGCCTCTCAGGCCAAGGGACATGCTGAAATAACTGTCGCATGCGTGGACTGTGTTCCAGGGTAGGTCTCCACAGCACTCGCACTCGGTCCCTGGGCCCCAGCCTGTCCCCCGCAGGTCAGCCTGAGCTGCCTGCACACCTGCATCCTTGCAGCGGGCATCTTGCAGGGATGCCGGCGTACAGGGCAAAAATAGCCAATTCTGTCTCAAAGTGACGGCATGCGTCACCCACACCTCCTGACAAACACCTCTTCGGCACTCTAGAGAACAGTGAACGTGTAGCAAAAATAAACGCTTTGTTTTCCCCTGCGGGCTTCTGGGAGCCGATTCAAAGCGTGGTCTTGGGAGGTAAGCCTGTGAGGCTGGACCTGCTTGGCAGCCAAGGTCTGGACCAACTGGGGTCTTCTCCACTGCCTGGCCTTGGGGGCGGGCCCCTCAGCTTTCGGAGCATCAGCTTCCACATCTGTAAAGTGGGCTCATGAGACCCATGCTATAGGTGCTACTGGGTTAGGGGTGGGGTCAGTGGGTACACTGAAGGCCTGCAAACATGCAAGGAATCCACACTTCTACCCTTAAATTCATAGAAATAAAAATAATGTTTTAAAAGTCTCAATAGATAGAAATAGATCTGTGTGTCCTGCCCTGCCCACCCACCCAGTCTGATTCACCTAAAGGTGGGCCGAGCAGACAGGCAGGGCCACCTTCCCTGTGATGAGAGCACAGTGGGCAACAGCAGCCATGGGGTGTCCCAAGCCTGCACAAGCACTCAGGGCCCCAGCATGCCCAGTTGGCTGGTGGTCCCTGCTCCCCCATCCCTTAGATGCCACCTCTAGGAAGACTCCCTGTGCTCCCTGCCTCCCTGTGCTCCTCCCTGTCCTCCCCGCCTCCCTGTGCCCCTCCCTGTCCTCCCCGCCTCCCTGTGCTCCCCACCTTCCTGTGTTCCCCACCTCTCTGTGCCCCTCCCTGTGCTCCCCGCCTCCCTGTGCTCCCC